CTAACGGGTTTGTTTTTGGACTGCAGGCCGCTGGCTACCCTCGCCGGGCTTATTTTTGTTACCCAACATACTGTGCGATCGGCGAAGGGACAGTGGTCGTTTCAACCAGCCAAATTCGAAATGGGAAAGCCTATCGATCTGGAGATAAAAGTATCGCTAGTGAAAGATCTGGGGGAGGAATTGTGAATCGAGTGAATGGAAAATGGAACTGCAACATCTCTGCTTTGATTTTCTGGAGGAATCGAGACTGGTGGAAATTTTTTGGCGGAATTATTCGCTTCGGGCGACGGACGCTTCTAAAATAGGTTTCCGGCCTTGTCTTTCTTTTAGCAGTTGAACACCAACATAGCGCTAACTCGCCGAAAACGCTTCAAAATGGCCTGAGACGTTCGGAATCAACAAAGAAAACAACAAGGCAATAAAGTGAGCCCATTATATTTCAAAACAAGACATTTTTTTCTCTCTTTTAAGGCAAACCGATAACATCCCATACAAACCTTTATAAATATAAAACGTTACGCAACACGGTAAGAGTCACGTCCGCTTTTCTCGTAGTGAGCTTGGGCTGCCTGTGTTTAGAGCAAAAAGTAGTGCGATTCGTGAATAAATCGCACCAATTAGAGCCAATCAGATTACGGGGACCACCAGTGATTTCAAAATGGATGTAATAAAAAACTAAAACCAATCTCTACCCAGTCATTCGCATTTTTAGCGCTTCATGCAGTTTGCTTGTTTCCAAGTCGAGTTCTCATTGGCTCCGTAATGATTTGCCGTTGTACGAACTTTAGCATCGGTTTTTACGGTAAATCGAAATTTTTCCAATAAGGGAGTTTCAGCAAGACCTTCACGGCAGCGGCACAGGGTAAAAATTAATTTATATTTTACCCTCTTTCCTTATGATTTTACAACAACCCCGTAGATATAAATATCTCCTGTTCTCAGCTAATGAAAAATATGTTTCACTTAAGTCTTCAAACGGCTGAAAAATATGGTGAGGTTAATTATTTCCCATTTGGCGTCTGTCTCACGTCATATCAAAGTGTCTCTGAAGTTTATGAAGTACCGTACTTCATAAACTTTATGACTTTATCTTACTTTGACTTGTTTGGAAGTCTTGTTATCTTAGTCTTTTGCGTCTGGCAGAGTTACCATTTAGACATGAGAGTTACGTAGATTATAAACTCTATCCATTTCGAAGCCAAAAAAGAACGTTATGAAATGTAGTGCGATGTTCCATAAAGCAATTTTCAATCGTGTCGAAAGTAATGCGGGATTGCTTTGTTTTTTTTCCTTTACTTCGTTCTGTGATTGGTCCAGAAAACTCTCGCCACATCCTCGACCAATCAGATGTAAAACGACTTGGTAGCCCGCGGTTGGTTTCCTGCGCTTTGGGAGTTTGACTGTTTTGCATTGGGTTCTCGTTCACTCTTCAAGGTTTTTGTTATTAGGTTTTACGATGCTCAATCGAAAAGAACTCCAAATTACAAGAGAAGATTATTATGAGTAGAGGGTGTAATCGGCGAGTTTTGAATTTTGATGTAGTTTGTGTGCAAGAGAAGTTTGGCTAAGGCTGTTGAATGGGACTAGGGAGAACATTTAGTAAGCAGTGCTATACTGTAACTTTTGAACAAACAATGATAATAGATAATAAACAGTGTATAATATTGTCCTGCAAGAAAGAAAAGAATAATCGATGAGGGAGTTTTAGTAGCAGCGAAAACATGGCAAAAGTTGAAGAAAAGTTAGCGAAAAATGGCATAAATGAAAATAGAGCGATTTTTGACAACAGAAAGTAATGTTACGTTTATGCTAAAAAATACTTCTCAAGGAATCAACCAGCTTCTGAAATATATATCAGCCTCATGTCCAAGTGACTATAATATGACTTTTTTATATACATAAAGTTAGAATTATCTATACTAGAGCTTTGTTAGTATTACAAAAAGAATAAACAAAAATAGAAGCAAATTTGACTTCTATTAACTGTAACATCATGTGTCAGCCGTCATATGAAGAAGAATTTCCCTTTCGCCCTTGAAGCCGATTCTTCCATGCCGAACGGCCATATTATCCAGCACCAGCAAATCACCTTTCCTCCACCGAAATCCAACTGCGCATGACCATGAAACAGCTCTAAGGTGTTGTATGACTTCCGGTTCGATTTCACTTCCGTCTCCATAGTAGGTGTTAGTGGGGTATTTATCATCCGGGATATCGGTGCCGCTGAACGATGGTAATGACTTGTAGTAGGTACGATGATGAGTCGTTGCTTGATTAAACCAAATTTTTTCTCCCGTTTTCGGATGGGGATGGAAGGCTGGGTTGACATGAGACCAATACATATTATCCTTGTCATCCCAATAGACATTGTCAAAAAGACTTCTGGCTATTGTTTCTGCCTCCTATGAAAAAAGTTATGTATACAATTAAAAAAAAAACAAAAGAAAAAAACAGAAGCACTGCCTTTTTTCACTGAGATTAATCTAAAAGCAAAATTATTAAGCAAACACTACATTTGTTCGCAGGCTTAAAGCTGAGAACGGGCTCAACAAAAAAGGGAAAGTAAAAATTACAAAAAATAGATAATGATGCAATTGACAATTTTTAACGCCTTTTAAAGGATAAATCGACTTAAAAAGTCATGAATGAAAGGAGCTTTGTCTCTTTTTGCATGTTCTCGTCAGCTTTAACCTCAGTATCTACGCTGATAGCAATAAATGCATCTTTAATTAGCCATAAAGCACCTAAGCTTTTAGAGGTACGATGTTGCAAAATAAGATGAACCCTCTCCCTCCAAAAGGGAAATAAAAACCTTACGTCATTTCGAGATAAGCTCGTAATTGGTTAGCTACAGTAAATTTTGAAGGCAATGGAATCTTGCCAAACAATTTAGAAAGTTAGAACACCCAGACAAGCTGCTTGCGAGCGGGCTACATCATTGGCGCTGCGGCCCGCTCGGGCGTTTCTTCGTTCGAGAGTAAGTTAACGGCCTTCAGTAAAACGAGCCGGCAAGAGAGATCTGAAAGGGGTCTGGCATTGAGTATTAGTGCTAGACCCCTTGCAGACCTTTCGCCGGCTAGCGTAACTCAATGCCTCAAACTTCCTTGCAGGCAATGAACATTCGTACTAAAGGGCTAATAACGAGGGCCTTGACACATGCACACTACTACCTCTCGATTATTCGTGTAGTACTGCTGCTGCCAGGTCATATAATCTGAGCTTGATTTGTCTGGAAGATATCGTGCATATTTGACCCCTTTTTCTTTGAACTTTCTTACGACTTCGGGATCAAGGTCAGAAAGAATATCGCTGCTTTTGACCAGCGGTGTCTCACCACCACAACCGTCGGCGGGCTCTTGGACGCAGAAAAAGAAAAGCTGCCAAGAGGGAGAAACAGTTCAAAACAAAGTGAGAAGTACTAGTTACCAAGGCGTTAGGCTTCAGTTGAAAATGATTTGGCATTTTTTAAGAACTTTCTACAATTATTTTTGTGAAAAATATATCAAAAGGGTGAATAAACTTCAGAACCGACTGATCTGAGCGCCGAAAAATTATTATTAACCTCTCTAAGAGGTGGTGGCCAACTGGAAAGCCTTCGCTACTTTGACCACCACGCACAATTTCATAATCTGTACTTTATTTATTTTATTCTGTAATCATTTGTTGCAATTATACTTTTCTATCTATGTTCATTTTATGTAAATAGTGTGAAATAAATGAACCCTTGAACCTTGAACCGATTATGACAGTCGAGGTAAATAATTACTTAACACTTTGTATACAGAAGGAACAAAAGGTTCGTTTGTTTGTTTGTTTTTAAAAAACTTGTTTACTGACTAATGCCCTGATATTGTGGGTGACAACTTTGAGCTAATCTTTCAGTTCTGAAAGTCTTCAGAGCAGCTACAAAGGATGGAATAAACTTGACTTGACATGGGTGGGTCGACATTTTTTCTTGAAACTCATTTTCCTGAGTTTCTCTCTCTTTCTCCTCAACAGAGGTATCTCCTTCCCCTGAAGACGAGCCCTGTTTCGTTTGAAACACAAATGGATTTATTACACCCTCTCGGCTAGATTAAAATCCAAGTCGAGAATTTAATAAGTAGCGCTCTCCTCGCCGCTGTTTTCCTTATTTACATCCACTTCAGAAGGGATTTAATTTAGCATGCTTGACTATTGCTACGTCATAGTTTCGTCATAACAAAGATGGCGGACTTCCAATTTGAAAATGCCGATTTTTGAAACGTAATTGTTCGCAACTAAAACGCTTTTAGCTCAAATGAATAGCCAGTTCGGACAATGCAAGTAAGGGACTTTTGATATAGATAAACGTTTTCTAGACCGTACTTTCCCTTTAACGCACTTTTGTCTAATTTCTGATGAACCACATCAGACCAAGCGCTTGTAATGTCCTTGATTTCAGTTACAATTAAACGATAGGAACTGGGTACGAGATAAGTTACAAGCCACCTTTAGTTACTTACCTTCGATGTATAGGATTTTCCATAGGCCATTTCGTGGTGCAAATCGATGGAGTAAACTTCATCTTCAGTTGATGTATAGTAGATCCCAGATTTTTGTAAAACCTGAGGTCTGGGCACTCCACCTCCCGCATAACTCATGGCCTTTCCTGGTATTGCTTGGGTTATGGTCAAAAAGTCATCCGCAGTTTCAGCTGGCAATCCGCGGAACAGGATCGCAGGATTATATACGAGATTCTCCTTCACATAATCCATGCATTTTTCACTCAACTCTGGGAGTGAGGCCTTGTCTCTAGTATTGACTCGCACGCCGTGTGGGAAGGAGTCACTTGGCCCTGCTAAGAACTCTGGGAATCCTCCACCCGTGGAGCCTGGAAGAAACTCCCTGTCTCGTAGCCTTGACCCAATAATCGGAGTCAGTTCTTCTTTGGCGATTCGCTCAAAAACGCTGCCTGTTGTTTTTCTTGTTTTTATCGACAAGCGATTGACCCTGACTACTCTGACTAGACTAATGCGGGAGATACGAAATGACTACCTCCTAGCTGACGCGAAGACAACAGCTGACATTATCTGCGTAATGAAAGTACAAAGATTAAATTTATATCTTTCCTTCAAGATCATGAATTAAATTTTCAGAAATACATAATAGGGAGGCTTTCCACTCCCACCCTCCTCCTCAAAAAAAGCGTTCAACTTTTTAAACAGAAGTTTATACAGTGGGACCTCGATTTAAAAAATCTCCTTATCACGAAGTCCTCGGTATAACGAACGATACTTTTCAGCCCGGCTAAAGTAACAGTAAAATGTATGCCACAGAACCTCGATATAACGAAATAGATAGATACCCCGATCTAACCAACAAAAATCCACACCTGACCAAAGACAAATGCAAAACAGGCCAACAGTGCAGTACTATACAGTAGTGTTCTGTTTTTTTTATTATCTTATTGTATTAAAATATGTACACACTGTTCATGTTCATTATGGCATTTGACAAGTCAGGCACAAAAGAAAGGGAATTTCCGCGCTCTTTCTCTTGAATGAAAGGTGCACTTTAACGAAAGACAAAATATCAGATATAGTGTATTGATCATACATGCACCTATTTTAATTATTGACAACGAGCTTAGTGTGGGTTCTACCATGTCATCAGTCTTGTGTCACTACGGAGTCACACGAGATGCGCATGCGGAATACCGATCAGTGCAGGCGCCTTTGCCAAAGTCAGTACTTTACGTAGAGGTGAGTGAACCAAAATATCATTTTTCTCAATCAATCAGAAACATCCCTGTTTCTTATACCCTACAGATTCTTAAGGCATACGACCTGTTTAAATTTTTGCAGGTTTCCGCTTTTCCTTGTTGCCTTTTTTCACAGGACAATGATTGAACCTACCAACTACAGCGACGCCCACGAGGTCGCTGCTGAAACCTCCCGTGGAAATTCTCACGGTGAGGACGATATCACAAACAAAGACTTGGCTAAAACGCTCCAGTGCATGAACCAAAATATGGGCCAAATTGCAGAAATCTTACTCGAAATGAAACAAAACAACCCCACCGGGGTATCTGGTAAAGCAACATCGTCGTCGAAGCGACGAAAACCAGATCAGATGAGTGACTCTGACACTGATAATGAAGGGCCCGCATTAAAACGGAAAAACGACTCTGATGATAATTTAAGCCTGCACGCTGAGGATGACTTGGACGTCGATAAGGACGTCCACACGCTCACCAAGCAATCGAAAGCCACCGGCCAAAAAGAGTGGGAAGTGTCCGCTAGTGAAACTCTGTTGCAAGAACTCGCTAACCAGCTCGACGATGACGAAGCCACCGGCGACAAAATCAAAACAGAGCTGGCACAAATAGCACAAAAGCGTTGGGGAAAACCTTAGCTGCTGCAAAAATTAAATTCTTTGCAGAAAAGTACAAAATGCCCTGAAAACTGCACAGCAATAAAGGGAACAAAGGTAAACAGTGAAATCTGGACACAGCTTAATTCTAAAAAACTATCTGCTGATTTAAATCTGTCAAATATGCAACAGACTATACGCAAAGTCAATTGTGCAAACTTACAAACAACTAACCTGCTACTCAGCAACCCCGCCGGGGAATCTAATTCAAAGATTTTTGAGCCTCAAGTTGAGTCATTAGCCATGTTAAGTCATGTACACACGCAGCTCTTGCAGCTCAGGAGGGAACAGATTAAACCGGCCTTAAAATCGGAATACAACACCATCTGCTCTGCAGACATACCAATCGACAGTGAATATCTCTTTGGAGACAATCTAGCTAAACAACTCAGAGATGCCAAGGAAGCTAGTGAAGTTAGCAAGGCTCTCTAGACCCCTCAGAAAGGGCATAAAAGCCAAGGCCATACAACTGGGTCACAGAACTATAACGCCTTTAAAGCGAAGAGAGATTTTTTGTGGAAAGGCCACAACAAACCTTACAAAAGGAAAAAACAGCGATCAGCAGAGAGAAAATAAGAGAAACACTTTTGCAACTTTAAACAAATGTAAGTCTATTCTACGAATTTTTACCCACTCTTGTGGAACACTTTACTGAGATGTGCCAATCATTCCAGGCTGGGCAAATAGGTACCTGCCTTTCAGCTTGGAATGAAATCAGTAATGATAGAATAATTTGGATATATCAACAAAGTTGAAATGGTAAATTGTCCACCGTAACGATTACAAAAGCTACAACAATAGAATGTTGCTAATGATAGAATGTTGCTATCTCATGTAAATGGTACACAAATTGACCTATTTGAGAAACCATAACAGCATACCCTGGCTTGTATGCTAGTTACTGATGCTGAGCATGAAATTATTGGAAGAGAAATCTCTAAACTGCTTCAGAAAGGCATCATAGTAAAAGTGTCGCATAAGAAGGGGCAAATATTGTCTAGCATCTTCCTACGGCCCAAAAAAGACGGCACGCATAGGTTAATATTAAACCTTAAAAGGTTTAACGAATCAGTTACCTATCATCATTTTAAGATGGACTCCTTGTTTACTATTACAAAACTAATAACGAGACATTGTTACATGGCATCACTTGATCTCAAGGATGCCTACTACTCTGTCCCTGTTTGTGTGGAGCACAGGAAGGTTTTAATATTTTTGTGGGAAAATCAAATTTATGAATTTACATGTCTCCCTAATGGGCTTTCATGTGCACCACGAATTTTCTCCAAGTTGCTGAAGCCCCCACTCTCGTGTCTACACAAACTAGGGCACATATCAGTAGCATAACTTGTCGATATCTATCTCCAAGGCCAAAGTCTTCAAGGGTGTGTTGCAAATGTTATAGATACAATCGTACTACTGAGTAAATTGGGGTTTGTTATACACCCTGAAAAATCGTGCCCAAAACCAAAACAAACCTTGAATATTATGGGGTTGCTTATTGACTCTGTCACCATGACCATACAGTTAACACCGGATAAGAAAGTTCATATACTGCCTGACTGTGATATGCTTCTGAACTCTGAACACCCTACTATTAGGGATGTAGCTAGAGTTATTGGGAAAATTATATCTAGCTTACCGGGTGTCATGCATGGTGCCCTGTATTATCGTTGCCTCGAAAAGGATAAAACCCTATATTTGACCAAATCAAAAGGTAATTTTGAACACACCAAGAAGTTATCAGAAAACGCGATATCGGAACTCCAGTGGTGGACTAGGTCGATAAATGCGGCGTACAATGTGATAGCACATGACAAACCACCTCACATTAATTATTATCACCACCGATGCTTCCAAAAAAGGGTGGGGGGCAGAATATAATAGTGTACCCTCTGGAGGGCTATGGACAAATCAAGAGAGTGATCAATCCGTTAACTATCTTTAGCTGTTAGCCATATTTCTGGGGTTGCAGTGTTTTGTCAAACATACAAGAAAGACACATATCCGTATACTCAGTGACAACACCACTGCTGTTAATGTACTCAACAATATGGGCACCAGTCATTCGGAGCAACTCAATGCTTTAACTAAGGAAATATGGGAATGGTGCATTGTACGAAGTTTAAGGTGCTGCACATATCCCTGGCAAGCAAAATTTGGTTGCAGACTTTGAGTCAAGAAGGAACCAAAAAAGTCTGAGTGGAAACTCGACGAGGGGTCCTTAAATAGAGCTTTACTCCAACTGGGGTTTTACCCGGATGTAGACCTTTTTGCTTCACGCATCAACTACTAGTTTGATAAATATGTTTCGTTCAGGCCTGACCCTAAAGCTTTTGCCATAGATGCTTTCAAATTGAACTGGTCAGAATTAAACTTCTATGCTTTTCCACAATTTAGCGTCATCCCCGCCATGTTGAGCAAAATACATCACGAGAAAGCATCGGGGATCTGCGTGCTCCCGGACTGGCCAACCCAGCCGTGGTACGCCAATGCTCTTGGTAGCTGATGCAACAGACACCAGTGTACCTAAAAGCAAGCAGAACCCTTCTAACCCTGCCAAGCAGTCCGTCAGAAATTCACCCGATCTGGCACAAACTAAATATCATGATCTGCCACTTATCAGGCACAAATTAGACCGATATCAATTGTCACCCTCGGCAACGGAGGTGTTAATGGCTTCGTGGCGAGAGGGCACCACAAAGCAGTACCAAACATACTTAAAGCGTTGGCAGAGCTTCTGTGAACACAGAAACATTGACATTTATTGCCCAGGAGTTGCCATGGGGATCGAGTTCTTAGTTTCACTACACAGGTCGGGGTTGGGCTACAGCGCAGTTGATACAGCTGGATCTGCACTGTCGGCTACAATCTTATCCGAGGGTATACCATTCGGTGAGCACCCTCTCGTAGTCCGTTGTATGAAAGGTATTTTTGAGTTAAAACCGGCATTACCTAGGTACACGGAAATTTGGGATGTTAATAATGTATTAAACTGCCTTAAAAGATTTAGTCCTATTAAGGGTTCCTTCACCCTGAAGGACATAACGTTGAATTGAAGCATGTTATTATGTCTAACAACTGGACAAAGAGGACAAACCCTACTTTACAAGCACACACGTTCTATTCAGGAACTAGACGATGGCTTCCGAATTAAACAAACTAAGCCAGGTAAACATTTGGCTCCCATTAAGGTAATCGCATACCCGGATGACAAGAGAATCTGCGTCGTGGATTATTTGAAGGAATACCTAACCAGGACGAAACCGTTTAGAAAAGAAGTCACTCAGCTATTAATCAGTTATGCTGAACCATTTAAACCAGTTACCAAGGATACCATCGCAAGATGGGTCAGAAATGTGCTGGAACAGTCGGATATAGATGTTAAAAAATACTCCTCGCACAGTAGCAGAGCCGCTTCAACTTCGCATTGTAAAGCCAAAGGACTAACCTTAACAGAGATCATGAGAACTGCAGGATGGTCAAACGCTCGTACTTTTGCACGATATTATGTTAAGCCCCTAGACACAGATGATCTCAACTTTCGGAACAGTTTTGTTGAACTCTACAACCAGTAACTAGAGAGTGTTGTACAATATGACACGTTTTATTCATGTAAAGCTTCGCAGACCCAATAAATTGGACTATTGTTTATGAG